TAGCGATACTTTAGTTGTTTCATTGAATTGATGCTCAACATACATGACTTTTATTTGTGTATACGTAACTACATATGTACTGTTAGCACACATGTCTATATCGTCTTCTCAAGGAGGAAAACGTCATCGCGTTAGCTCATCATCCTCGACTAGCTCACTTACCCCCCCCCGGGAACTCTAAAGACATAAACAGACTGTACTCTGCAATTAGGATGCAACGAGTAGTTATAAACAGTAAGACCGCTGAGTGGATGGAAATTAGGGCTGGTGTTTCGCAGGGGTCAATATTAGGTCCACTGCTCTTTTTGATTTTAACGCTATGATTTAACTATTTGCTGACGACACTTCGCTTTATGCCATAGTCAATACTCCGTCTCGATGTGCAGATTTGTTGAATGACAGTTTAAGGAAAATATGTGCATTGTCTGAAAAGTGGTTGGTTAAACAACACAAACATACAGTTTTTTGTTTTCTCTCATGATGCTACAATGTACTTGGACAGAACACATAAATTATATGATAAAGAAAGCGTCTAATAAACTAGCCATTCTAGGACAATTAAAATTTAAAATAGACAGAAACTGTCTTCAAACCTCGTTTTTTTCATTTGTCATACCTATACTTGAGTATGGTGATATCGTCTTGGATAACTTAACTATCCAACAGTCTCAATCCCTTGAGAATATTCAGCTCAAAGCTGCAAGAATTACAACAGGTGGTACTAAACTAACAAGTCATGCTAAGCTTTATGAGGAAACTGGTTGGGACAGTCTACAATACCGATGCAACGTAAAGAAAATAGTTCAGATACATAAAATGATGTTTGGCCTTACTCCCCCGCACCATCGACGCTCACCAATATAACACACGTGTTGCTGATAACGTAAGCAATGTATTTTGGAAATCTAACGTCTACAAGAAATCGTTTCTTCCTACTTCTATTGACCTGTGGAATTCACTACCCCCAGATATTAAAAATAACCCGAAATATGCGAGTGCATGTAGCAACTACAGTGTAGTATCACTCTTTCTCTCTCTCATGGTTGAAGTTTTGTCCTTTATTACATATATTATTCTTACGAGGTTGTTTAACTTTCTAGTGTTGTCATACGCTTGTCAGTAATTAAGGAGACAGATTCATATAAGTATTTCAATATTTTTTTCTAAATCCTGTACTTATGTATTGTATGTATGACATGAAAAGATATGAAATAGAATATGGTTTAAACTAAAACTATTACCTACACATGTAGTCATTACTCATGTATCGCTGGCATATGTATATATGTAGTTATAGTTCATATAGTGTGACAGTGCTACTACATAACCCTACGGTATTCAGGTATATACCACTGACAGTTAAAGACCTTAAGGCATTAAATATCTACATGTATCAGATAAATGTGGTCCTGGTTCTGTTATTGTTATCAGATAAATTTTGTCCTGGTTCTGTTATTTCTATCATACAAATGTTGTCCTGGTTCTGTTATAGTTATCATACAAATGTGGTGCTTTTTCTGCAAATTTTATCAGATAAATGTGGTCCTGGTACTGTTATTTCGATCAGATAAGTGTGGTTCTGGTTCTGTTATTGTTATCAGTTAAATGTTGGCCTTGTCCTATTATTTTTATGAGGTACATGTAAATGTGGTTAAGTTCAGTTATCAAATAAATGTCGGTACGATATGAGAAATATGACTGGCTTAACATGTTTTCACGCTAATTCTTTATAAAGAATCATTTCAAAATTTCTGACAAATAGATTAGAAAACAAATATTATTGTATTGGTTTTTCGAATGAGCTTCCAAACACGAAACAAAAAAGAATTGTTTTCGCCTTCTTTCAAGCAGCATTTTATGACATTTTTCATATTTTTGAAAAATATAATGAAATGGAACCCGGTCTCACTAAGGGAATGATATTGCTGTTTCGTATCTTTATTTGTTGGAGTTTAACATCTTATAACAAGGACATACAAGAGGAAAAAAGACATCCACTCTAAATCATCAACAACGTCATACAAAAAACCTCTTCTCAATACGCACATCCATACACACAGACTCATTCCTTCTCATCCTAAAACACCCAAACAGGACTTGATTACATAATTATATATAGTGCGTTTTTAAAATGATACTTTACATGTGTTGCCCTTGTTGTAAGGAAAAAATATTTTTTGTTTCACCTGGATAAATCGAGGAGAAACAAAGAATCGTGTTTTCTCTATAACAAGGGCAATACATTCATTACTATGCCGAAATAAAAAAATAAAAAATCCAATCGTAAAGATGATCGGGTTGTCGCGCCATTGTTGTCGTCCGCTTCAGTTATTCGGAACTTAGTTGTGGTGACTTGCACATTTTTCTAGAGAGGCTCGGAGTAAAGGAAATATGATAGGGGGAATTCGAGCGCGCAAGGTAGACATGCTGATTTATAGTCCCGTCATGTGATCAGTATCATCCAATCAGACACACTATTATATAGACGAGGCATGATGATTTAATTTGTATTTTTTTGGGTTTTTTTTTGTACATTTATTTGATTTTATTCATATATGGTGTAAATGCCTATTTTGGAAAATAAACAAATTATATCTAAGGTTCTGGTAAATATATCCAAAGCAAAACGTTTTTGCAAAACGACCTAGATACTTTTGTATTCTAAGAAAATTGCCTTTCTCATCAAAACTTATCTCAGATGGTTAAAACTACGAGATGATGTATTGAATTTAAACTATACAACATGGTTAAGTGTGTGTTTATATAACAGTTCGCTAGCTGAAGCCGCACATTCTCAAACAAAACATCGTACAAATGTCTGCGGTTAATAAAAAATTACGTTACATAAACTATTACAGTAGAATTGTATCAGTATTTAAACCGTTGATGGCTTTGTCGCCATTGACCTCTTTATAAAGAAAACCTTACTGTGATGATTTGGTTGCGATAATATTACAGTAAATAAGGATCAGAAACGTATCCGGAACAAAGGACAATTCATACCACAACAAAACAGGAATAACTCTGAGGCACATTAACTGGAAAACAAATTTACTAAATCAACATATAAAAACTGATAAGTGTTTTATTAACCTAATATCTAATCGATTCTCAGGTGAAGCCTGGTCCCGTTAATGTGTACCGTTACGCCCACATTCTGATAGTCGTAACATTGAAGTACTTCAAAAACACAAAACTGTTGATACTGCAAGCGCTGCAGGAGATGTGGGCGATCCAATGACTGAATTGTAATCCAATTAACAATATGTTTGCGAATCATTTTTTTCTTCATAATACGCTATAAATGAAAGAATTCAGTTCTCGATATATAGCTAGGTATCTACCTGAGTGGTACTCGTACGTTATTATCTATCTGTAGATCTATTCTCTCACCCCATCTATGTGGAGTATCTGTGATATTTACATTTGATAGTTAAGGTGTCATTGTTATAGGGTGTCTACCTTAGGGAGCAGCACTCTGCCACACGTAAGTGGCTAACACTATGTATGGCGTTCATTTTCGAATTTAATCCAGTGTTAAAATTGTATAGAACTATTTTTTGGGAATTCATATAAATTCAACTGCTACGAATGTACACAGAATGAAACAAATAAGAGCATTTTTTGTAAATTTCAACACTTTTCTCTGCTGTTTCAGAATTCTTTAATGTTTACGACAGATAATGTGTCAATGTGTATTTGTAAATCTTTTATTAGAAACTACTGACCGGATACTGGTATGAAATTTTACATGGACATTGTGGGCATGTGTTGATGTGCGTTACGCGTTCCACCTTTTCGCCATCAAAAATGGCCGCCTTGGCCATTTATTGATTGATACGTTTATGGGTGTACGCCAAGGTGATGCCAGAGACCCCTCTTTATGTCTGATTTTGCATCGACCCAGTATGTAAGTGTATCTTTAGAACTACAAGGTCAGTTTGGGAGACGTATGTAGCGGTCATCATTGCAATTACAGGGTTTCCTCCAGGATTTTTTTAAAGAGAATATGTTTTTCATTTTCCAGAGGTGAATGTGGCGGTTTGTAGATGGTGCATAGATTTCATAGATCTTGTTTTAACATAAATTTCAAAAAATGTTTTTTCTCTTTGTGGTTGACTGAAAACTGACAATTCGTTATGATCCATGAAGTCATCAGGCACTTCAGGTATTTGTGGAGCTTGCATTACTTGCAGGAAAACAAGCATTTCTCAAATAATCTGCTAATAGTAATCTGTATACAATACCTACTATGAGTTTATCCTTCACAAAACCAATCTTTTGTATGAATTACACACTCTGACTAAACTAGATTGCATATTATTTGAAAAAGATTGCTTGTAAACAACAAAAACATCAAATATCAATTAAATATTGTTTTTATTACTCCAAAATAATTTATTACATTATATTGAAGAGACAGAAGCACTATGACACTCACTCTAAAAAGAATTTATTTATGACACTTTTGGATAAATACAGAACCTACACACATACAATAATAATTGCAAATTTAGCATTTCACAATAACATAACATCATTCTCAACATTGAGCACACCATAAACCACACGTTCCTAAACAACTGCAACTATTCTCGGATTACTTCACACGTGTATATGAACAAAGCACTAAACACTGTCACATCAAAAACACACTTTGGTACATTGTTTCCTTACAGTTTTTCAATAAGTTTTGGTTCTTATTTTCCAATATACTTATACTAATATCTACTAGGCGAAGGAAATTCTCCTGTTCTTTTGGCTGGCCCACCTGTCAACACATCATTTGAAGTCAAACTCAGTTGTTGAGGCACCTTCCATTGTAATGATGAGCAGGGGATTTATGATCTTATTGCACAGTCTATTTCTCTGCGTTGTTTTGATTATTTTTAAGGTAGAAAAAAAACTCTTGCAATCAGCTGTTGAGGTAGGTATTAACAGGCCAGCAGCAGCTGTCTTACTAAGGACGGGGAAGGCTTCCGGATGTAGAGAAATCTTACTCACGACCTTGCGCGTTGGTTCATCAGCAAGCTCTGGAGCCATGTTGATAACTGTCCTCCATTCTACAAGTCCAGATACAGTGTCAATGCCAAAAGGTTCAGTTAGCAACTTTTAATCCTCCCTCCCATAATGTGCAGCCTCATCAGCATCTTCAGGCATCTTGTTAAGGTCAAACACGCTAAAAGCTTCAAGCAAAGGCATATCAGGAAACCGCTTTTCCAAATGTTGCACAACGCTGTCGATGTACTAGTCGTAAATGTTCTTCTTGAAGGAGTCCGTCACCTGCTTGGTGGGCACAGAAAATTTAAAATGGTTTTGCGGCCTGGGATGTAACAGTGTTATCCAGTTCCTGGAAGTGCTGACCGGGGTTGTCCTTGAGGGATTCCACAGCACGAATCGACCCAGCAACCAGGGGTCTCACCAAGATGTTATCCAGGTCTCTCCTCTGCATTGCCTTTGATAACTGCGACAAGATTGAGAGAACTGACAGCATATGCAGAGTGGCAATAAACTGGTAGTTCTGGATAAAAACAGAAAGACCCATGGCCTGCACATCCCAGCGTTCCTCTGCCTCTCGCTCCAATCTGACAAAGACAGATTCCAGGCACTTTCTCGCACACTTGATTGCAGCATCGTGGCTCAGCCGACGCACATGCTTGGCCTGTGTTATCTTGATGCGTTGATTGCTGAGGACAGACTGAATGGCTTGTAGAGCAGATGTTCTCTCTGGGCTGTAGTGATAGAATCGGTATCATTGTTCAATGATGGCCTTAAACTTCTTGATGTTTGTTATTCCGTTTGCTGCCTGGGAACTTGTAAGAGCCATCCGATGGGCCACACGTGGTTGCTCCGAAGATGGGGGACCTGTTCCTTCAGTAGTGCTGCAACCCCATTCCTACATCCCAAAATAACAGATGCCCGTTCACTTTCAAGGGTGCAAAGGTTGTTGAGCGGAAAATCTTTCCTGCTGGAGGTGGTCTGTGAGTGCTGAAGCAATTGTCAANGGGGGGGGGGGGGGGGGGGGGGGGGGGATCCAACTCCAATCACCTTTCAGAATTATGTTGCAACAAGGCTTGTCGAACCATGTGGTGTTTCCAGGTACACTCTTCGACGACGTTGATGTTTGATACACACTGTGCAGATCATACATGTAATATAGTTAAAATTTATCTTTTATACTGCTGATTATGTGAATTTGTGAAACATTGTAACCAAAATTGCTGCTGAGCGATATTCACATATATTCTCTGTCTGAAATAAGTTCAATAGTTCCAATGTACATTTAGTTTCACTATTACCTGTAACAACATTATATGGAACTTGTCCATGTCACGTGAGACATATGTGTGTATATACTGGTATCTTCATATCAGTTTTGTTCAACGTTCTCGGCTTTGCCTTCTCCCAACAGCCAAGGTCGGATGCAGACGGTGTTCGCAGTTGATATTGCCACTCAACTGCTAGTCTGCTACCTTACAGTGACACTTGCTAAAATGTCCTAACCTGGATGACACGGTAGCATGACACTCCACCCGGTCACATCATTCTTACAATGAGCTAATCGAGGTCATCGAGGAGAGAACGATGAAGAAAGAGAAGAAGAGAAGGGAAAAAACAAATTTGATATCTCAAATGGTCCACTGTCGCAGCAGATCAAATTTATTTTTTCCAAAAGTAGAAAACACCGATAAAATACCTGGCCTTGATTCAGCAGAAGGTAGGCTCATAGGAGTCGACTAATACAAACATGCAGTGGGATACAGCAGGCCTTGTCTCTTCCTTCTAAGGTTTGCGTATCTTGGTGTCGTCACTGAGGAGAATATTGCTTAAATATGTCGTCTGGAGCGATTCTGTTCTCTAAAGTATAGTCTTAGAAAAATATGAATGGTGAAAAGTTTATGAAAGTCCTCGGATTGATGATACGAGGAAAGGAACACAATTAGCTTCAATCATTATTTTCCCCTTTATTGTATAACACATCCATGTCTATCTCCTTAATAAATATAAACTGATCATAGACAGATAACTCATTTAGGTATCTGTATAATATGCTTCCTCTTGAGAATAGAAAATATATATTAAAGACACATTTCTCTTCGATCTTTGTATATAATATATGTGATCATTATTCGAATTGTAAGCTTGACATATGTTTAACTGGTATCGATATATTTTAGGTGTGTCAAAATCATTAGCTATTATATTGCGAGATACTTTCAACAGTTATATGTATACGAGAAATGAGACATAAACATATCAAAACTTATTTTATCAAGAGTTTTTAGCCTCAATAATCAAAGAAGAAATTTATCAAAAATAAGAAAAAAAACGTCAAAACGATCATTAATTTTACCAAGAGTTTTTAGCCTCAATTATAAAAGAAAATAGTAGTATGAAATAAGATATGGTTCTGTCAGTTTTGTAAGCTTGGCACATACAAACAATCCAGTGCTTCCCGCGTTGTTCGCCAACTGTTATAAGTCATTTTTGAGTTTATAATCAAACATAATATATATAATATTAATAAAAAAAAATAGCAAACGAGATATCTTCAAAATTCTAATTGTTTCGGATGCAGAACAACTTTTATAGTGAAACATTCCACATGAGACCTATGTGACGGTTTTACTTTTGGAGAAATTTCACATTTTGTCCGGGCGTCTGCTCGTCAAATCCTTCGCGGCGTCCATTATTAAAAAGTCTTAACCATGAACATGCTTATTCCATATATTTTCTCACTCTGTACAAACGCTCAGACGACCTGCTTATCAAAATTTGCGACGGTCATTTTTGAAAAGTGGCTAATCAACAAAAAGCAGCGGTCCGGAATTCTTCTACATGGGATTATACTATTCAGTGTTTGGTCCGGATCAGTACGGTTTGTTGATAAGTCACCCCATAACAACACACTATGGTGTCGCTCAGGTGGGAAATTTTGAATGAGGACTCTACTGACGGAATGAATCAGCTGTCGGTGATAATAAGACTGGTTTTGGATCAATAAATATTCCATCTGTTGATACATTTGAGGTATGTGTTGTGTTGTAACAGATTGTTGCTGTCAGCACCTTAGAACTTAGTAAAACGGTGACGTCGTTTCGGATACCAGGGCACAGGGGAACCGTGGCTCTGTGGTCAGGGCAAGAGAAAAAACTCGGGATATACTTCAGCACGGACTTAGATAGTTAATTCCGTGACTTCAGTAACGACACATGGCCTATATGTCTGTTGTTTGATGGAAATTAAACAAAAACAGTGAATGTGACCGTGCACTGTTATGCAATTGAGATTTTTTTCACATCCGTTGAATACAATCAGGGATGTTTTTGACATTTACTTTGATTCGTGGTACAAAATTAGGCTAGACTGACAGTTGAATTCATCCACATGTACTAGCTTCGTGTCAATACACCCATAAAGTTTTTCCTCAATTTCTTTGCATGTTTACATAGGTTTAAGCACTGTGAATCTATGTTCATGTATAATACACTGTGTCTGTGGATACCACATCAGCTCTTTGGTACTGTACCAAATTTTCCATAAAAAAGAGTTCAATGTTCAGTCTAGTTCCACTACATTCCGCGGGTGACCCTAGGGAGGTTTTCGCGAGCCCGGAAATTCATTATTTACTTTCCTTCGGGTTTTTTTATACATTTTTCTTCTGATTCATACATTCCTTACGTTTACTTAGCTGTATGCAAAATTTAATGTCAACCATAACAGAAGAAAGTACCGAAATACGTCGATAAACATGTCTATTTTGGAGGAATGGGCGTCCAGGGAGATTTCCGCGCGCCAAGGAATTCGTTAATCGATTTTTTAACCCCTTTTTCATCTGATTCAGATTGTCAGGTGTCAGCTGATTGAGTGCACCCTCTTCTCTAGGAGAAATAGTTATTAGTTTCATCATACATAAGATCAACAGCAACCAGGTAGCTCAACTAGTAGAGTGTCCGTCCAGAGGTCAGAGGGTCCTGGATTCAAATCCTGGTCTGGTCGTGCATTTCTCTCTCTCCCACCCTTCAAGCACTGGGTTAATGCTTAAAAAGGGGGTTCCCCAATCTGGGTTGTAAAATAGTTGTCCTTGGGGGTGATGACTTAGAAAGAGCTGGACTGGCCGGTCATTCGTCAGTGACCAGGTAGCTCAATTGCTAGAACTTCTGTCTGGAGTTCGGAGGGTCCCAGGTTTTAATCCAGTCTGGTCGCGCATTTCATTATTTTTGTGTCAAATCACAAATACAAAATGGCGTATATACACATACTTCCCAACTTTTTTAATTTCCGGGGAGGGGGTGTCAAAATCGGGAGTCTCCCTCCAAAAAATTGATCTCTAGATGATATACAATGTACAGAATACAGCTCGTACTCGTAAGTAACGAATTATTCAGATGTCTCCCTCCAAAAAATGTATGGTCCCTAGATGATATACAATGTACAGAATACAGCTCGTATTCGTAAGTAACGAATTATTCAGTCAGATGTCAGTTAGTTAACTGCTCAAGAGCATCATGTGCGACAATAATTCCCAATCGTGTATTTTAACAACTGAATTATTTAAAAAGAGTCGTCTCATTCCAGCAAAGCGAAAGTCATGCGCTGCCATGTTGTATATTACTTGACTTGCGATCTGAACAGGTCACGTCATGCACGAGGTATGATTAATATTTCTCCCACACCTGACAGATTTATCTCCCGTTTTGCCGGTGCTAGATTTATCTGTCTCCGCCCTAGGGCTGAGACAGCCTGCACGCGCTGTGACGTCATTGGAATGTTGCAATGAACTTCACTGTAAACAAATGTAACAGTCCGCGTAAAAATATAGTTCTAACAAACGGAAAATATTTTTAATGAATTTAATAACAATTTCCTCATATATTTAACATTAAAATATAGTTTAACGGTAAATAACTTTCTTTGTCTATTCAATACGTGATGTTCGTTCGAGAGTTCGTTTTCCGCCGGAAAGTCGATTGACGCCATTACGTTGTCAACAAACACGATGAAGAGATGTGTCAAGTTATTTAAGTCATTCTTCATCACTG